AATTTAAATTCAAGTACAGGGGTCTCATTAAATCAGGCAATTTTATGATTTAAAATTATTAAAATGTTGACTATAATTATAACAATTCAGGTAATTTTTTTTTTATGTTTTGAAATTAAAAATTTGTATAAATTAAATTAAACAAATATTAAAACTAATGCTTTAGTTTATACGACCGTAATTATTGTATATATTAAGTAAATATATACGTATTATACACTTATGTAATGTTAATAGGACGGGGTGGGGGGGGGATTGCCTGATCGAAGTTAATTAATTTGGGGGCCGTGAATCAAAAATGGTTGTGCACCACTGCTATAGATAATTTTGTTTTTAATTTTAATAATGAATAAAAATTCGAAAAACCGCAATGCAGGTTCCAGGCTGTACAGTATATGCGTAATTTTTTTTTTTTATTATTATTATTAATTGTTTTGCGTGGACGTGTTTTTGAATAAATTTCACGGTGACGCGATAAATACGCGGTTTTTGAACGTTAAGACACGCGGAGACCGTGTTTCCGAGTAGAAAAAAAAAAAAAAATTTTGATTTTTCACACAATCCCGTTAAAATCGTCGACGGCGATTAAACGTTATTGACGCGCGGCGCACCGCGGGTTCGGGTACAGACGACGTAGTAGACGTCGCTCCCGACCATCGCCCGTTGAACAGCGTTTCGGTTTCGCTCGCGCCAAAACCTCCGTCGTTATTATTCGCATTTCGCGCGTACGTTATCGTCACCGCGCGGGTCCGTACGCGTGTGCCGTTTTCGATTGCGCTTTTTGCCATTTGTCCGGCGCATAGGCGTACGACAATCACGTACGAACCGATACACACATTCCGTCGACCTTGCGCGCGCCAAGTTTATGTGTACGCGCTGCGCGACCCGGGCACGAGACGGCGGACAGAGACCGTAGGCGACGACGGCGCGTTCGCATAATACGATATTACTATTATACACCTATTATACGGCTGCGGTAATACATTGCGCCAACAGCATCCGTATAGGTATAATGCATCGGAATCGAAATAATCCAATCGGATAACACGCGTAATAAATCTGTATAGTAATTAGCAATTATAATACGCGAGAGAAAAAAATTGACATGTTTATTTTTTTTTTTTATCTTTCGCTTTGAACCTATTTAATTTATTTTCGATTGTATAACACCGTATAAGCTACCAAGCTACCCGTAATGCGGGTATGCCGTGCGCGCCGCGCACTTTTATGATAATCATAACGATGTTCGCGGCACATAATACACTCTGCGGTATTATAATATTATATTATTATGGTCCGCGTACGCATTACGGCGAGAATAGCTTTCCGGAGTCGTCAGCAGCAACAGGTTTCAGTTTTTCGGAGCCTTCGGAGGAACAACACGGGGCCAACCACAATAACGATAATATCGCATTTACATTCCGCGATCGGGTTAACGCTGGCCCGCGTCCCGACGATATTATACTGTCGCCACTGGCCGCGCTACTGCCGAGTCAGACAACGGCCAAAACGGTTCCGCGTCTGGAACGCTGTCTGGGCTGGCCGCGAATACCGAAATTCGGAATGTAGATGTCAGGCTACTGAATCCGGATTTCGGACTGCGAACTCCGGATTTCGAATTTACGGTTTTCAAAACCCGAATTTCGGGTTTGACATTGTACATTTCTATATTCTAGTTTGAAAAATCAATTGTTTCGATATAAAGTCGAAAGTAAAATCTAAGTGTTATTACGAAAACTTTATTATAAGTAATACATAAAAGAAAACTTATTTAATATTTCAAAATCCAAAATCCGGATTTAAAGGAAAATCCGGATTTCGGATTCGGAATTCCAGCAATTGAACTTCGACAAAACAATTTTTCCCATCACTAGCATCCTATAACAGACATCCCAATAACAGTACACCGATCGGGAGGCCAGCAAAAGTTTACATGGTCTACAGAACAGCTGTAGAATTTTCAATATTTCAATTCAAACCCGGTTTCGTTTGGAACAATCTTATCGTATACGATATCTCATCGATAAGAACTAGTTTGAATTTATAATAGTTTTAAATTAAAATTATTTTGATCGTTATTAATACAATTTGTATTTTCTTTATAATCGTTTTTTCTTATTTTATCGTTTGAAACTTCATTTCCATATTCGAATTTCAGTATGAACAACAATTATTTTTATCGTTAATAATACATAGGAACCTTTACAAATTATTACAAGTTAAATATCTTATTTTTCACCGTAGTTAACAGGGGACAATCGCAAGTGTTTAGTAGTTAATCACACTTTATCACATTATCGCTTCATTTTAAACTTACATCGATTCTAGACCATGTAAATTTAAATATGTATCGTTTACCAATAATGTTCGTTAATGTAATATATTGTTCCTGTAGAATACTTATTACAATTAATGGCATTTGAAATAAATATTGTTTTGAAATTTGTCGATTAGTGACCAAGTTAAATAAATGTATCTCGTTAAAAAAAATACAACAAATTTACGCTCAACAATTTTTTTTTTTTTGTCATTAAGTAAAACTCGTATTAGTTAATAAACCTGAAATAAAATATTCAAGCATTTTTGTTCAGTTAAACAATTGTATCCACATCAACTAAAGAAAAAAAAATAGAAAATGTCAGATGTCTAAAAAATCTAAAAAAAAACTCTGCTCTGCTCAGAATCACACACGTCATATAATAAAATCAACACATTCCTAGTTCTCTCCAAATATAAAAAATACATTATGGTATAGTACCTAAAAAATATATTATTCTTCGATGCACACGAAATCTTAAAATATAACACTGGGACATTTTTGTAGTTCTTTAAAAAGGATCGAGAAAGGTCTTTTTTCTTAGTACATTTGTATACAATTTCACTACATATTTACAGATGCTTTAAGTAATGTTTTAGTTATCACTTTGCATGTATACAATAGTTGTACATTGTACAGTTATTATCAATATGTTTTCTTTTCAAAATGCACAAACAATATATACCAAGAAAACAAAGGCACGTAGCCTTGAATATAAAAAATCGATGATGTTCATTAGCAACCGAACCAAATCTTTATAAATTTAGAGCCATTTATTTCTGTGTAGCTATTAGTACAATATTTTCACGATTAATGGATATATAGCGTAGATACGACATATCGATATTGTATAGAATTATAACACTAACAATTTACAACACCGTTTATTAATTAATAATACTACACCGTAATAACGTTTATAATAACATTAACAACGAAAAAGACGTCCTAGGATAATAATTACGGATGCAGCCATTGTTATAGATAATTTAATGTATACTTGTAAGCATTGTTTACGAAATAACGATTCTGAGCGGAGTTCAGTTGATAGTGATGCTTTATCAACAACATATATGTCATTTTATAGTAAAATAATTAAATAGGCTTTATATATCCTTTTATAATATTAATATTTGTTTAATATTGTACCGATTTCCCCATGTTTTATCCCGGTTTTTCACATTTGCTGGTAAAATCGAAATATTACATTTCTAAATTACCAGAGAAATTTCCTTTTAAAAACATTGCAATTATTAAAAGTTGGAGCAAAATCGCTGGTAAAATAGTTGTCCAAAGAAAAAAAAAACAATAAATATCTTTGTAAAACCATAAGCTTCTTCGCTCTACTCAGAATCTAAAATCATAGTAAGGACTGATACTTCCATCATATTATATTGAAATACTAGCTATCACACCATTTTCTCTACAGAAACGCAATACCTTGACATAAAATCTAAACAGTATTCTATAATAACTACAGCGGTAATGTAAGAAAGTATCGGAAAAAAAATCTTGAAATAACATAAAATATATTAATACCTTTTTTTTATCGTTTGAAGCCGACAGCACTGGAGAATTTGTGTTAACAATACTTCTCTACTGTTGCCATCGTTTATTTGAACCATACAAAAGTAAGATCAATACAGAAGTATATTAACTATAGTTAATGCAAATATGTACAGTTTACAAATACACTCGTTGTGAGGGTGAGCAGGCAAGTCCCCTACTACACCTACTTACACAGTAGCGTATTTGAAAGAGGGGGAATAGGGGTACACCCCCCTTAAGTCTTTTTTTGAGTGTCCTGCAAAAGTTTTGATTATAAGTTAAAATCCATTAATACGATTACTCGTTTATGCGTTTCCACCAAATACGGTACCCAATTTTGTAATTACTGTGGAAACCATTTATAAAATGAAAAACCACGTTCTGTGTTATTATCAATAATCAATATAATGTTCTCTAATGCACATCAAATAGGATATAAGTAGGTATATTTAATCAAACAATGTTTTATTTTTTATTATCAAGTCACCAATCAAAAAATGTTTTATTTTTTATTATCAAGTCACCAATCAAAAAAAAAAATATTTAAAAATCAAAAATTTCTCTGTGAAATAACAATTTTAAGTTATACCTTATATGACCACATATCACTGATAATTTATAAATATAATGTTAATTGATAAATCATAGTATAATTTTTTTATCTGCCATAAATTACCAATTTTACACTAATATTAAAATAGTGATGTGCTTATTGGCTTATGCATACAAATTGTATTGTTTTGCTATGCTTTGCTTTTTCAACTTATGTTATAAACTAATAAATATAGGGCAAGATCACATAGTTGAATTGGCTTTGCCAAACATTCAAAGTTACAGGGATATTCAAAAAGATAAGGCGATTGATATATTTGCTGCCAGTAAAAAAATAAAAATAATCCTAGATACGTTACTGCCCTGACATAACCCTAATGCTAACTTAGACGTTAACTTAAACCTAATGCGTCTGAACTACAATCTTCCCAGCCCGGTTTACTGAACCAGCCGACCAGGAGACCCGCTCTACACTTCTTCTTGGCACCAAGTTATCGCGGTTTCGATGCCTTAGCTATTGCTTAGAGATTGCGATTGTCCTTTCCCCAGGCCTCTTGCAATCCCTAGTGACGTGGTCGTAGTCATGACACCGGTAGCATCTGGTGGGCACAGACGTATCCCAGTTAAGGATCTTGAGAAAAACCGTCGGGTTCAACCTGATAACAGTACTAGTTTAGGACCTCAGTTTGTTAAAAAAATATTTCTAAGCTTGCCAGCCGCCATGACGGATCTTAGGCAGCTCAACGAATAAAACAACTGCGCCAATTCTCTTCATGACCGTCACCATGGTGTTCAGTTCAGTAGAGCTACAAGACCTCCTCAGCGCTCTGACATTATTAGCGTAGAAGAACCTTCGGCAACCTTGACCAAAACCGATGGCGCTCTAGGTTGAATCAATGGTATAGAAGACGCAAAGGCTGCTCCAGACAAAATTAGTTTTACACATTGAAAGCAGACATTTAAAAGGTTGCACAAGAGAATACTAAAAATAGGGAGAATTGGCGAAAAATACTTGAAACCGTGATGGCTCTGAATAGGCTATAAAAGCTACAAGAAGAAAAGCAAAATAATTAATTCAATCAAATATTTCAAAAGACGAGTGAACTCACAATTCCCCTGTTAATTATTATTTAGACGTTATAAGGGAAAGAATCTTACACTTTATAATAATTATTATACGCGGTGTTGTGGTTCATATATATTTATATTTTATAATATAAAGGGTTTTCCAAATTTGTACAACATGACAGTATAATTCACTATGAAATATTCAAATATAGGTCACCGCCATTCAAACAAACCTCAAAAGTTACCTCTTGATAATAATTTCCACTTTTTATTTAATAAAACATTTATAAACTATAACGATATACAATTATTTTTTGAATATTTTAAGTATTCAAAATTGTTTTTACGTAATATTTAAAATGTATATATATATATTTCCTAATGAAATCTATACTGTCACGTTTTAAAATTAGCTAGAATAATAACCCTGTGATATATACACAGTAGTATATTAATATTAGCCCTATATAAAAACGGACTGGAATATTTTATGCCCTATTTATATTATTATGGTAAAGGTGAACTCGGATAATACCATTTATAAGTACATATTTCGGTAGGTCCGTAGAAAAAAAAACATCTACGCTTGTTAGTCAATTTTATTAAATATAATGTGTTCGGTAAAATGGACGTACCTACACTATACGACCTCATCCGTTGGCAATTAAAATTATTACAAAACAAAAATACCAACATTTTTGTAGTCGGGTGAGGTTATATTTTATGATGGCCATGTAATTTTTTTCATTTGTACTCGTGTAATAATATTGCTCCACAACCGTCAAATGGATTTTACATTACTGTGTTGCAGGTGATGGTAGTTGATAGTAAGCAAAAATTGTACATCGATCGACACGAGTGCAAATAGTTCAGTTATATGGAAAACTTTATACATTTTGTGATAGTCGATAGTAAGCGAACAAAATTATCGTTTTTTATCTAGAAATTATCTCTTGTCTTTATCTAAATATTTTAATATTGATCTTTAAACATTATTGATAATAGCCCGCATCATGTGATCTCATCATTATACAGTATCCTTTGATACATCCTTCTGCAGTCTGTGTACGATGTACCGTATATATATATATATATAGTTATCGTCAATAATATATAATATACCTAACGAAAAGTAATAACAAAGACCGAAAGAAACTTTTAGACGGGATGCAAATACTCGTATATATATTTATATAAATAATACACATTAAAACTATATGGTAAAAAAAAATGTTAAAAAGGTTCCCTGCTCCTTGTTGCTGCTATCTTATATAGGTATGCTGGGGCAAACCACGGTGGTCGAATATTTAATATAGAAAAAGAATTTCACCGCGGTTTATTTCCTTTGTGCAATAAATACGAGTATATTATATAAACAATAAGATACCCACCTTCAAACAGTCATATAGGAATATTCGAAATAATCTAAAAACTATCCTTAAGTTAGGTATATACAATATATATTTAAGTAGGTATATGAAAAAAAAACTCGATACGATTTTAATGCGTTCTAAATACTTAATATAATAAAAAATAATATGCAATACATTATATAGGTAGGTAAGTGATACTGCAGGCAACGAATCAAGTTCTCGTTTTGCAAAAAATCGTCGGCAAGTAAATAACGGCTGTATAAAGACGCATGTGAATTATAAAATCTCGAAAATGTTTGTCGATCCGCTTAGTCTCGCGTAGAATTCCCTTCCTCCCTACGCAAAATAATCGATCTCCTCATGTATAATTTATGAGCGGGCAAAAAAAAAAATGGTTTATCGCAGTCGAAAAAAACAAAAACTCGCAGAGAATCATTGGCGAACGTCGGCATTTTAAACGAAACGAAAAACCACGCGTAATGTACACAATACACGATCGATAATAATTTCACAATACGCGTATGCAATATAATATGCTAATACCCGCTATTATAATATATAATGTTTCGACTTTTTTGTTATTACTTTTTTTATTTTTTTTTTTTTTTTCGAATTATGCGCAGTTTAATTCCGAAACGAGTGTGTGCGGGTTCGCGTATATAACGAGCGCTGCATTACGACCGAATGTCATATAATTCAATTCCTGAATCGTATATGGCGATGGTTACGAAACTCGCGCACATTAACGAAGAACGCGCAAATGCACACACTCGTGTGGGTGTGTTCCTATACACTATACTCATACCATGTTCAGTTTGTATACATAAAACAAAAAAATCCCCAGGATCTCAAATGTATACGACGGTACACAGCGTATGTAAAAGCAGGCACCAAAACAGTGACGTGTAATTTACTTGGCCACTTGGGATTAATTTGCGGTTATAGGTTATTGGTGAACATAAACTATAAAAACAAATAGATCTCAAACACTTGGCCTACATTCAGAAAAACAGACGAAGATGTTTTTTTTTTTTTAATGGAAAAAATAATTATATTATGTAATTTATCATAATTATTATTTACAAACGAGGATGACCTTAAAATGCACTAAAACTTATTATGACGGTCACAGAGCCAGTACTGGGAAATAGAATCTGACGGGAAAACATCGTTGGGGGAAACGGTTAAGATTTGGAAGTTTTGTGAGTTGAATCGGAATTTAGTAGAAAATATAGGTAGATTGTAAAAGGATTGATTTGAGGAGCGATAGTCCTATAGAGGTCGACAAAATCCAAACGAAGAGTTGAATTATATGGTGATATTTGCATATTTTTGCATATCTTGAATACAATTAATATTATTGCATACTCAACTGCAAAAACGCAACTAATGCATGTTTTATGGGATATTTGATTTATACAAAGGAATAACTGCAGAAAAGATAAACAATAAATTAAAAAATGTATTAGATAGAGGATATTAATAGAGGAATGAAATCTATGTTTTTAATACGTTATTTTTTAAATGGCAATAATCTAGATGAAAATTTCTCTTACAATCTAACTTTTAGAGAAAGTTATGCAATTTAGATACTTACGTGAACATTACATCATGTGATGTCAGACGTAGTTTTAGTAATTATTAAAACATATTCAAATCTAAAAGAAGTTTATTTTGAAAATGTAGAATACTATGATATAACTATTCGTATAATATATTTGAATTGCATTTTAAATATGTTTTTGTATTTCTCACTGCTAGTAATCCTTACTGCTTCAGATTTCTTTCTCTTCGTGATATACCTAAACCGTTTCGGTCTATTTTATCTCAGTTTGTTTACTATCGTTGCCACGGCTAAGCAACCACTTATGAATATACATTCCTTATTCTATTTTCTCTCTTTCAATAATAATAATATCATAAAAAGGTTGCAAAACCTAACTTCAAAAGACAATAGAAAGTAGAGATAACAATAGTTAAAAAGCTATCAGTAATATCCCTTGATATGTTGACTTAGAAATTATGGCACGAATAAGTGTCAATAATTTTTTGTGATTTGTTACGAAAAATTTGGAATTTTTAATTCCATTTTAATCCCCTAAAAACCTGGGGATTTTTGTTTTTGGGAAAATTACCTCAGCAACCACATCGGTAAAAATGTACTTAGACTAAGTACTGAGAGACTTTCTATAGCTTACCCTAGTTACTTCTATAGTATTCGAAAAATATACAATTTTGAGGGGTTAACATGGGGTTACAAATTCCGTTTTACGAATAAAAATTACGAACAATTAGTAACTAATTGGTGACGTAATTTCCAAGTTAAAATTTGAATGTTGAGTGCCAGTGTAAGGAGTTTGGTAATCCATACATTTAACCAATTCATAAAGCTTATCAGTAAAGAACTTTCACCCAGATGCAACAATAATAAATTGTCAAGCTTAATTAATCGCCCAACACTACATAATTTAAAAATATTCAGAACATCAATATATAAAAAAAAACTTCTATCCATACCATTACCAGCTAATTTAGAAAAAGCCATTTATAAGGACATTAACACTAAAACCCAAAAAATTAAAATATTTCACTAAAAAAACATTTTAGATTCTGAGTAGAGCGAAGAAGCTTATGGTTTTACGAAGATGTTTATTTTTTTATTTTTTTTTTGTGGACAACTTTTCTACCAGAAAACTTGCTCCGGTTTTTACGCGCAGCAACTTTTATGAAAGGAAATCGGTATGGGGATATACCTTAAAGACGTAATTTTTTGATTTTCTCTGGAGTTTTCTCAAAAAATATGAAGAAACATGGGAAAACTGTGATAAACGTAAGAAAATCGGGGAAATCTGTACTTCATTAAACAAATATTATTAAAAAAAAATACATGGAGCCTATTTAATTATTTTACTATAATATGACATATATGTTGTTAACAAAGCATCACTATCAATTGAACTCCTCTCAGAATCGTATTTTCGTTAGCAATGATTTATCGTTGCTTTCAGATATATATTAAATTCTCTGGTTGCACCCGTCCCCATTATCTTTCCATTACCTTTTTTTAATTTACATTTTTAAAGAACTTTTTGAATTCTGTAAAAAAAATATAAAAAATAAAAATCTGAATTCCTAGAATTTTTTTATCTTTTTAGTTGTAAAACATTAATATTATAAATATACGTTTAGATGTTTATTGTATAATAATATGTTGACAAACAAATTAAACTCTGCATAATAATATATAATTCATAAAAACTATACAGTAACAGTACAATTTTAACTGCTGTTAGGTGCGTCACTGTTGAGA